TTAAATTTAATTTAAATCAAAGGGAAAATAATTTTAGTGGAGAGGGGGTACAAAAACAACTTGATCTCTCCCATTTGATATGTATTCAAAGCAATACTTGATTGAATGAGTTGATTATCAGATTTCAACATTGATATGACAGTTGAATTGTTGTAACAAATATATATTGTAAGGCACTGCCCACTGATTGGCGATTTCTTATTGAACTTGACGTCCATATTGTCTGATTTTGATCTCAGCCGATGTGACCTCCATCTTCTGGTTTTCTCCTTCTATATTTTGGATGGGAGTCATACTCTTGTTCAAATTTGAATTTCATTTAAATCAAAGGTAAAGAAAAAATTCAGTGGGAGCTTTTTGATCGAAATGAAATATACTCACTCCAAGTACCCTGGGTAATGTAGTTTCAGAATATATATGTTTATGGGGGTCTTATCTCCAAAACCCTAGGAGGAGTTCAGAAGTTCGATAAAAGACAGACAGAGGCTACAACTTTATATATTTGGTATTTGGTATGTTTTGTTTTACGGCATATCAACCTCAATAGGTTATTTAATGCCGACAAGATTTTTATTGCTGGTCATATTTTCTTTCAAAAATGTATTGCAGGTAATATTTTTTTAAAATGTATTGCTGGTAATATTTTTTTCTTCAAAAATGTATTGCTGGTATTTAAATTTATTTTTACATATTCATAGTGTTTTGACGCCAGATTGGGGTTAACTATTTTCTCATAGTTGGGACACTAGCAGGTGCTACCACCCCGGGTCAGAGTAGACCTGGGAACACTAGCAATTGTGGTTCCACGCTCCTCAAAGCCTCCTGATCAGAGGCCTTGCTGTTGGATGTAGTTTATCGTCTTACCCTGGACGCAGATGTAGTTTATCGTAATACCCAGGACAGAACTTTATATATATATATATATATATATATATATATATATAAATTTAACAAATTATGCATCTGAAAATAATTCCTATTTACCTGTATCTCGCTCATTTAAACCGTTATTTAATCCCTCTCTTTAAAACTTCTCTCTGTTAAATTTTAATCCCCACCTTCACCTTTAGGCCTTTCCTATTCTTCTTTCTTCTGTTACACCCTCTCTCTCTCTTTCAGACATTTCCCTCGCACACTTGTTTCCCACTCATACACTCTCACTAAAATTTTATTTTTTATACCCGGAGTTATATTTTCCGATTTCTTTTTGAATTTGTAGGTCTGATGAATTGGATCGTAATTACGATTCCAATGTAATAAATTATATCCATGGAATATTAGTGTTTGAGCATTTTTTTAATGTGAATCACGTTTTCTATGACTTTTTCATCTTGACTATAGTTCAGACATATCTGGTTATAATAGAATAAATTAATTATTTTTCATTTTTGTTGTTTGTTTTCTATTTTTATAAAATTCTATAAAGCTAATTTTATGTGCTCGTCACCGAGACGTGGTTTGGGAAGTCATCGTTAATATTGTGTTTTTTTAGATTTTAATCCTTTATAAAATGTGGGAAGGAGAAATTAGTTGAATTCGGTGAATCATGTTGTTAATAAAAAAACATTTTATGTCTGTGAGGATATTTACGTTGTTAGTTAAAAGAGGTAAATATTATTTTGATGGCTTTTTATATAATGAACACGTAAAATTATAACCTTTAGATTCTACGAAAACATTGAGAAAAAGGAGTTCGATTATTGATACTGTAGAACAATCACGTTGTCAAGACAAACACTCAGTTGTGGAACAATCTGAGTAAAGCCCCCTCCACCTTGAGAAAGAGAGCTATTAATGTTGCCATGGAGCGTCTCATTGTGCTCAAGTGGGATAGTCCACTGCTTGGGCTGAGATTGGCTGCTAGTACATGAGTGGAGGTATTTCTGTATAAATACCAGCTTGATTCCAGTCAGTTTGCGGGGTTTGTATTGAGTTACAACCTGCTTTATTTTTGTCTGCCAGCTGGGCGCTAGCTGGGACCCTTACGCCGGTAAGTGTCGTTGTTCTATTGTTATTCTACAGATACTAAGCTCATAATTAAATTATAGAAAGGAGCTTTCCTCAAAGGATTGTTGACGGTTCAGGCCTACCAAGTTTCTGAATTCTGTAGTGGTGGGTAGGGAGATTTCATTGTTCGTGACACCTCGCCGCGGCACCATGGTTGCACACGAAGGAAAAATTTTGAATTCTCTCAGTTTGCTCAAATCGGCTTTTTCTACAGTTATTTTGGACTTCTTTTTATTAGTAAAATGCCAGAGCAGCATGAGAAAATCCCGCGGGTGGAAAACAGTAACAATAGCTATAATACGGGAGACTAGGCAGCAGTGATTTTAAAAATTTTATCTGAATCTTATCTTTTCCATAATATCAATATCATCAATATATCGAACATAAAGGTTTAGGAAAATTGTTAAAAATTGTTTTCTAAGTAAGCGATGAAGAAATAAGATAAGGTTGTACTCAGAGGTGACACCATTGCTACACCTTCAATCTGTGTATAATATTTCATCACCACCGGAAAGATTTTAAATTTGCTCCAATCCCCAATAAGCGATATTATTTACAATGAGGCGCCATGCCCCGAACACCTATTGGGACTAAAGATCACTCCAGACCTCAAGTGTAACTCGTATATTTGTAACATTGTTAAAGATGCTGGAAGAATGGTTGCTTCCTTGTACCGTAATCCTCCTGCCATGCTTTATCTTTCCAAGAGTCAGATCAGACTGAGAATGGAGTATTGTTGTCACATCTGGATTGGTACTGCCTAGTTCTCACTGTTCAAACTTGACAGATTTCAAAAGCGATTACGCGGCCTTACGGGTGATGAATTATTTTCAACACTACAGCTCCTTTCAAGCAGACGAGGCGTCGCAACCTTATCCCTACTCTATCGCTATTTCTGTGTCGCATGTTCAAACGGTGTACATTCCTAAGGTTCACAGCTTGGATCCGCCATGTCACGTACGCAGAATCGAATCATCTGCATTCTCATCGTATTTCATTGTTGAAGAGAATGTATTCCATCCAGGCAATTTCTTTCCCAGAACTGTAATTTTCTGGAACATACTCCCAAGAGGATACTTCCTTAAACACTACAATCTTAATCTCTTCATGTCTAGGGTTAAGTATTACCTATCCTATATACCATCGTAATATGCAACATTTATTTTCTCCCTTTCAGCCTTTACCACAACCTCATTCAGTAACACTCTACCTTGAGTGGCTCCTGAGTGAACAATAATATAACAACGTTATCATAATGAACATTAAAAGGTACTTGTGACGTGCAAGATAGAATAGGTTTGCATAGTATTATTGGTTTAATATAGGAACACTAGTCCTGGCTATGACAGTAAACTGCATCCAAGCAGTAAGGCTTCTGATCAGGAGATTGAAAGTTTTCAGGAGCGTCGAACCACCTCTTAATTTCTGATGTTCCCAGGTTCACCCTCATCTGGGGTGGTAGCACCCGTTAGGGTCCCAGTTATGGACAAATAGTGAAACTCACACAAAAATAAAACACTATGAATGTATAAAAATAGACTCGTATAGTAAAATACCCGCAATTCATTTTTATATAAAAATTACCAGTCATAGATATTAATAGTAGAATTACCAACAATACATTTTATATCAACGTGGCCAACGATGCATTTTGTCTGTAGTTGAAGGCATAAAATTGCGTTCAAAATATATTTAGTTGAAGGCATAAAATTATCCCGAAATATTTAGATTTCGGCATTAAATAATCCATTGATATGCGGCTAAACAAAATCAACCAAACCAATCAAAATATTTAGATTTCGGCATTAAATAACGTATTGAGATTGATATGCCGCTAAACAAAATCAACCAAACAACCAATATAGGAAGGCAAGATGGAATATGCAAAGGTGTTTAATAATCTTCTCTACGTAAATTTTTATTAATATTCATCCTAATCATTAAGTTTTATTATTATTTGAAATCTTCGCCCAGACTGTCTTGCTGCAGTTTTGACAGTTTTGAGCTTCCTTTTATCAAATTTATTCTGCCATTTTGAATATCTAGAAAATGGATTACAGCGCATGCGTAAGTAGACATTCTATTGTTGATTGATCGACTTATTTGTTTAACGGTATATCAACTCCTTATGGGTCATTTAATACCGAAATTTAATTTTGAGAGTTTAGCAGTAATAAAAATATGCTTTCACAATTGAATACATGGTAGATGATACTCAGCTTTTGTTCATATACATGTTTGTGTGGACATAATTATGATGTGTGAGTTTTTTTTTTTTTTGTTGTAGTTTTGCTGAAATTCTATTTTGGAATACGGTTTGATTTAAGGAATTATAAAATATTATATAGACTAATCCTTTTATGTTGGTTGTTTGGTTGATTTTCTTTGGCGACATATCAACACCTCTATGGGTTATTTAATTCCGAAATCTAAATATTTTGTACGTAATTTTGTCCTTTCAATTACAGATATTTTGTACACAATTTTAATCTATCAAAGTAAAGGTACGTTTTTGAGAAATATATTTTGTGGATCATAAAATGTATTGTTGGTAATTTTGCTATAAAAATGTATGCAGACTCGGATGTGCGGGTGGTGTAATAGATAATGGCTCGGAATTGTTATCCGGAGAGTCGAGTTCTCTTTGGGTTCGTTATATTCACTTACGAGTAAATACCTTTGGAAAAAGTATGAATCCTCCTCTTCTCCCCCATCTATGAGTTAATTAGTAAGACTTGGATCATTAAACCAATCGCAAAAATATTCTTACAATGTAAAAATATCAACCTCTATGGGTTATTTAATGCCGAAATGTAAATATTTTGAACACGATTTTATTTTTATTATTTTAGAGATAATAATGGTTTTGGTGATGCAGTTCTTACTAATTAACCCATAGTTGGGGGAGGGAGTGAAGAGGTGCATTCATATCGTGCCCAAGCGTATTTGCGCATAAGTGAATAAACGAACTCGTCTCGTACTAAAAGCTTAACGCACCAGGTATTCCCAAGCAATTACCCATCTACGTACTGACCAGACTCGACGTTGCTTAACTTCGGTGATCGTACGGGAACCAGTGCTTCAACGTCATGATGCAAATTGAATCTGATTCTCTTTTCAGATTCGGAAGGATTTAACGAAATGCTGTCTGCGCCGGATTTTCAGCGTTCAGATTGTATGAGTTCGTGTGATGTTGGCAGCATTACAAGGAAGCAGATTTTCCAGGTTATACCCTCGAAATCAAAAAATCACTTACCCTCACCAAAAGTGATCTGCGTACGAAAATCATGCATACCGGGTAAAAAAAAAATCACCATTTCTATTTATTTTACTGATACAAATAATAATTTTCTTTTCTTTTTTTTTCCAAAAAACAAACTAAAATAAAATGAATGAATTAACTTCGCTAAAATAAAACATCGTTTTCTTTTCATCACCTTTTATCGGTTATTTTCATTCTTTCTCCACCATCTTATTTTTTCTCTCTCTTTAGATTTCTCCCTCTCACTTTCTTCCTCTCTCTTTCACTCTCATTCTGTATCCACCAACGTTCTCTTTCCCCCTCTCCTTATCTTTCTCTTACCCTAGTTTTATATTTCCCTCTTTCTGCATTTCTATTTCACCTTCATTCTTTCTTTTCACTCTTATTCTTTCTATCTCAGTCATCTCTCTCCTCCTCTCTTCCTTTTTTTCTATTTACCACCCTTTCCCTTTCTATTCACCCTCGCCTTCTTTATCACTTTATATTCTATTATTTTCTGTCACTTCCGTCTCATTCTTCTTGTCCTTCTTTTCTCTTGAAGAGTTTTTTTTCCGTATTTCAAATTTAAGTGGTCTAAATTACACACGAAAAGCGTTCATTCATATATCCCATCATATTATAACTCACCGAGCAAGGCAATCCTTGGTCGTTGACACGTCTATCAACACAGCTATCACTTCTCAAATCACTCGACACACTCCCCTGGATCCGAGCACTGTCTCTTCTCTTTTTCCCTCTCAGTCCCGAGTCGTTAACTCCGTTGTGTTGAGTAATAGCGACGGTCATTCGGCTTTCATTTTCCTCCTTGGCTGGGGCCGGTGTGTCGTCTCGGTAGGGTTGTTTCGGGTTTTCAAAGATTTTACGATATTGGGATTGACGGTGAAGTCTAGTGTGAATCCCTTGTATACGTTGTGTACGATAGAAAAGATGGCATAATTCTTGTTGAAAATTGCATGTTTCCTGTCCACGGCCGTGGTAAGTCTTTGTCTCTTTCGTCCGGGCACTCCTCAGAATTCAGGTTGGAAAAAAAAACTTCTTCAAGGAAATGCACAACACTGTTGATAACGCTAACAACATGTTTATTGAATGTGAAGAAAAACTGGTCGAATAAAATGTCTTTATTACTTACTGCAAATCAAAATCCTCTACTGCGGGGGGGGGGGTGATTTGGAGTTTCTGCTCGCAACCATTAAAGTGATATCCAGTCAAACGATTCTCACTCAATTCTTCGGTATTACATATGTCTGTGTTTTAACATCGGCCCGGGTGTACTCTTTAGCGACGACTATGTTATAAGCAATGCCGTCGTCTCGAGCCGATGAAATGCTGATGTGCTTCTCGTGTCAGACGTCTGCTCCCTGCTCGGGGAAAAAATAGCCACCAACAAAATGTGCGCTTGAAATCTTTTCCGATAACAATGATTGATCATTTCCTTTACCTAGACAGGCGACAGAAAATCCCAATTCACAATACCCAATGTCCACATTCCCTAAATTGAGCAACTGGCTTTTCTCACCTGCGCCAGATATCCCCAATAATGATAACTATAAAAATTGCTGACGATTGTTGCAGAAAAAGCACTTCCTAATCTTAGGCGATCTTGCTAATTGGCCATATGGTACTTACCATGTATATTCAAAGTCATTCTAATTATCTTTCTGTAAAGATAATTGTTTCCTGGGTGGTCAACATAAACAAATTCTACATAAACAAGATTTTTTTGTTCTTTGTCCAGAATAATTTAGATCATTATTTTCTGCGACCACACACATTATCTACAGCAAGCGTATTGTAAACTAACGTCTTTTTCTTATCGGCCGAATGTGGATATGGTTGGGAATCTTGGTTTTGCTCAATCTTACTGAATCCCGTCGAGTTAAATCTGGGTTCCATTCTCCTCGGAACTGTTCTTAATTTCATTTTATTATATGAAAACAAATTTTAACACGTTTTCTTCTCAATCATTCAACCGACTCTCCTGAGAATCTTACTAATTATCATCCAATTAATAGCGTCTCCAAATCACCATCTTGTAATTTCATGCATTTAAATTCTTAAACAGGACAAGTGCTCTGTTACAATTTTCTATTGTCTGTTGCCATCGTTATGCCAGCAGCTCTATACCACGCTTATAACATTTAGGTGGTTTAGAGGCAAAAACGCCCTGCACTCGTTTTCAACCCCACCCGCATTTTTTAATCTCCGTCCGCTAATGAAAGGATCCATGGCTTGGAAAAAAAATGATAAGCTGATGGAGTAAGCTCGGGATTGTAGGCCGTTTGAGGTGGCGCTTCCAGCCCCTCAAGTTTGCATTTGGCCACACTGGAACGTGTGCTGGGACATTGTCCTGCTGTAGGAGTGCGCGTCTTCGATTGACAAATGTCGGTTAGTGGGCTTTTAAAGCATCAATATATTCGCTGCTGTTGTTGAACATAAATGCCAGCGTTCACCCGGAACAAGTGCAAAGTGCCCCCCACTTCTCTCCGACATCCCACCAAAGACCGCTCGTGTTTGACAACAGGTTCTGAAGCCTGGCCGGAAAAATTACTGATTTCACGGATTACGAAAATACATCGAGTTTTCATCAACAGTTACAGTTAATAGGGCGGGGACGTCTTGAGGATTTGCCTGCAGTTGTTTGCAAATGTTCATACGTCGTTAAGCCTGGTCATTGGTAAGTTCACGATGAACCTTTCGACAGCGTTTGTTCACAAGACTGAGTTTATGGAGGCGTCGATTGATGAGGCTTTGTGGAGGACCAAGTTCTGCCTGCAATGTACGTATATTTGTGCTTGGCTGTTGTTCAACCATTTTAAACAAGGCCTCACCTTCCATAACATAAAGTCTCCCCGACCGTGATTGTCTTCGAGTTTACCCAGTTATTTTTCAACAGCTATTGTAAAATGGCTCAATAGCTATTTTGTCATTCTCAAAACAATGTTTATATATTATATATCAAAATAAAGAATAACCAATTGATCAACGATTGGACAAGTTGTATCAAATTAATGATATTTATCCTTATCTGGCGGCTCGGATTCAGTGACTTTCCAACCGCCGTAAGATTGCCACTCTGTGTCTTTTCTATAAATACTTTCATGGTAATTGTTCAGTTAAGCCGTATGGTACCCTATGGTTTTTGAATTTAAGCGCAGTACTAGACTAGCGTCGAGATCTCATCAATTTACAGTTGAGCAGGCTAGATGGAGCCGCAAATTCTATGCTAACAGTTTCTTTTCTCGTACTTCTCGCTTGTGGAACTCCCTTTCGGCTCCATACTTTCCCGCCAGCTTTAATACGCTAAAATTTAAATGCAATCTCAATCGCTATCTACTGTCCTCAGATTACTCTTTTATCTTTTCGCTCATTATTAATGTTTTTTTCCTAATTCTTCTACATCCTGTAACCTCTTGCGTCTTAGTGGCTTTACTGCCTTGAATGGGGTGATACTGATTAAAAAAAAAATGATAAGAAAATGCAAGTTGCCAAAAATTATTAATAAAAATTCGAAAAAAAAAAGAAGTTTGACGAAGTTTGGTATTTGAATGACGTGTATCCGTTCCCACCCCCGCCGCAAATAATCGGTGATTCAAAAATTGGATACGTCTATGGAAATTTCAAAATCCACAAATCCGCTTCTCCCCTTTGACCCATTATTGCACAAGTATCCATTTCCATTGACCAAGGATGTGCGGGTGGTGTAATGGATACGACTCGGAATGTGAAATCGAAGAACCGAGTTCGAATGCGCAAATACCCTTGGGAAATGTATTAAGCTATCTCTTCTACCCGCTCCCCACCACCAGCTAGAGATTAAATAGTAGGACTTGTATCTAGGGAAAATCGTAAAAAAATTGTTAATGTAATATTCACCACCACCCCGCTCCAAAAGAATTGAATTGACTTTAAAATCTCCCATAATACGTTTCGGTTTTACATAACCCACAAAGGGTTGATAAGCCGTAAAACACAAATCCATCAATCATTTACTAATTCTTCAAAACACTAAAGCATCTAATAACACAAAACCTATCAAGCAATTATTGCATTCATTCTAGAGACACCAGCAAATTAAACAATGGAAATTTGATATGATTTAGACGTCGAAAACCTCGTCACTAATGTTCCTTTCAAAATCTCTATCGTTATTATTATGCAAAACATTTACAGCTGTTCCCAAATTCATCTTCAGTCACTTTCTGCAATGTTATTGGTCCTAACCTGGCATCTCAACTTCAGTCACTTTCCCCCCACCACCGCAATGTAACTTCCCTGTGACTTTTCTATAAATAATTTCATCGTAATTGTTCTGCTGAATTTTCCTCTTTGGTATTTCGACATTGCAAATTTAAGTGCAGTACTTGATTGGTTGCTAGGTCTCATTATTTTATAGTTGAAATTGTTTCATACAACCGTAAGTTCTATTCTCGCACTACTCGCTTGTGGAACATTCTTCCGACTTCTTGCCTCCCAGTCAAGTTTGATCTTCAAAAATTTAAATGCAATGTCAATCGTTATCTTCTGTCTCCTTGAACCACATGAATCTGGCACAATTCTGAAAATTTCTTCTTCTTCTTCTTTCTTCTTCTTCTTCTCACTACACCCTTTCAGGACGTTAGAGATCATGGCGATGCCACTATTTGTTATTCATTGTAGCTCTTAGTAATTTTTTATTTTTGCTATCTCTCCTAATCCCTGTTGCGCCATCCATTTACACAAGCTCGTTAGGCATGGATTATGCACTGTTTTCCTGTCCCTTTTGCCTTCAATATGTCATGTGAGTGTCAAATTTTCCAAGTCCTCTTTCCTCATTATGTGCCTCACAA